TTCACTGGGAGGTGATACATGCACTATCAAGCCCTTGTGGCTCCTACGTGGAAGTTCAGTTGCTACCTTTTGTGCTGGTTTACGGGAACCACACCCAGTAACACATAATTTGTGGAACTCTGAAATGGATTTCACGGGAACCTGGAAAGATATGGAAATTATGTCATCAAGAATGTACAATAGAAGCCCAGTCTTACCATCTACATTGAAAACACCAAATAACTTGCCTGAGAAAGTCCTTTAAGCCGAATTTTTCCTTGAGCATCACCCTGTACCAAAACTACTTTGCGTTCTGGGTCCAAGATATCATATACATGGTCCTGATAAACCTCATAGGAAGATATAGTAACTGAATTTCCATCTTTCTCAGTCAGTGAAAGAATCTCAGCCATTGCTAGTGCTGCCAAACCAGGTTTCTCACTAGAACCCTTCAAAATCAAGTGGTTCAACTCATTATTGTAAAGTTTATTTCCCAAGAAACTAGAGTGAAAGCTTTTTTTGGGATTGATAGAAATACACTCACCTGAATTAAGCAAGTCTTTCCACTGCCTCTTGCTCCAAATGCAATCACAGTGGCATTACAACCATCAAGAATCCCAGGAATTAGAGGCTTTACTTCTCGCGAAAAAATCACATTATTGTCTTCATATTGATCATAGCAGTAGTCCACTTCATAAGATTCTTTACGGCTGCAAGACAGCAAAAGAAAATTCTTGTTTTATTATATCATAAAACAAAAAAGATAACGGGGAGGAAAGAAAATTCAATTTATCCAATTATTGGTGTTCCCTTTTTACGCCTGAAATTTGAAAAGCCTCAATTCAATTAAGCCGACTAGCTGTATTAGCCAAAGTATAATATTTACAAGTTAATTTATCTGACACTATCAAGAACTTATATCTTTTCATTTTCCAGGTTTTCTCAGAAACGAAAAAATACCAACCAAAGTTTACATTTTCATAATAGAATTATGACGAAATAAAAAAAGAGAAATAAATAAGACCCCGGCACAAAGAGCAACATTACCATGCTTCCTGTTCTCTGAAAGAGAGAGTGACACTCTCAGAAGCCTCTCCCTTGGGCTTGTTCACAGAGATCCAAGAAACCTCACTTGACAGCTCCCCATCCGGACCCGTAAAACCCCCTATCTTCGCTACAACTCGTACCTTCCGAGATGAGTTCGGACGCATAGGGGTCTTGGTGCGGTCAGGGTGGTCGCACAAAGACGACGCCATATAGAATTGGAAATTTCTCAGCTAGTGAAATTAGGGTTTCAATTTGGGATCCAAAAGCGTGAAAATTTTGAGAGAGGAAGATTACTCAACGAGAATTGCCAATTGGGAGTAAATGGGTTCTGAATTTGTTGGTTCTGGTTTTGATTTTATTTTGATTTTGGTCTTTATTTTTTGGTAAGAACCAAATAGCCGTTAAGGCCTGGGAGGGCATCCATTCAAATTTTGATGACGTGTCATTCATCTTACGCTCCCTCCCCTCTCCTGAAAAGGATAGGCCGCATTATAAATGGGCCAGCGCAGAAACAACCCAAAACGCATCGAACGCATTTTGCGTTTCATTTTTTGTTTCGGTCACCAAACGCTGCGTTTCATTCTTTGTTTTTGGTCGCAAACGGTGCGTTTTCACTGAGCTCGCATTTTCCTTTTTCTCAGCCGCCAAACAACGGAGGGAGACAATAAACCCACGACTCTATAATTTGATTTTACAAGTTGTTCGATTTCCACCGATTAGAAGCAAGCAACAATGGACGAGAGGGCTTCGGAAACAAAGAACATCGAGAGGAAGAAGATAATGTCTGCGTGCGATGTCGAGGCCCTGAAGAAATGCTTGGAGGAGAACAAAGGGGACTACGTCAAGTGCCAGTCACAGATAGCGGCCTTCAAATCTTCATGTGCTTTAAAGAAGCCAAACCCATCTCTAGCATCCGTGCCATAGATCGATTCTGCTGCTTCTCATGTTCTTCCAATTTGGAGTTTGCTTTTGTATTTATGGTGGAATTTTGATCTTTCATCTGGATTTTCTTCAATAATTCATTATCTTTAAACTGTTTCAAGCTTGATTTGGAATGGAATTGCTTTGAATTTTTTTCACTGTAGAGCTTCTTTGCAGAAATTAAATCCTACCATTTGAACACTGAAATCAAATAAGAAGATTGATATTCACACTGTAATCTTTATTGACCAATCTGCATTGTGGAAACAATAGTCGTCGAGGTACAAGACACTCTAGAGGTTTGCCCGTCAGCACACATTACAACTCTTCCTGCATGTCCCATAGTAATCAGGCGAACCAACCATGAATACAGGGTTCCTTTGACACTCCCCAATCGAAGCCCAATTGGGACAGTTATTGTCTTCATCGGTGCATTCGCTGCTCTCGGAATCAGATGACACTTTTTCCCCTCCAATGGCTTTTGCATAAATGAATTTTGTGGCACACCACATTTCCCCTTCAAGTACTGGGCATCTGGTATGGGGGCTACTCTTATCCGGAGATGCATTAGGACGGAGAGTGAAAAACAGGATTGCGTTTCCTTTAGTGGGTTTCAAGATGCTGCTACTCTTTCCACAATCAGACCAAACCTCGCTCTTCAGCTGTGATGGTTTCAGTCATGATCAGCATTTGACAATACATTAACGAAAAAGCAGAAATAAGGGACAGTTTCTATCTCACCTCAGACTCTGGGAATAGAATCTCGCCACCATGAGTGACATTTGAGAGATACAAAATGACTGTTGCTATCAAGGGCTCACTCTGTTCCAATGTAGATTTGTTACCAAAAAAATTTAAATTCTTCTCAGCCTCCTCGACCCCATTACGGGAAACCTGTAAAGCTTTGCTATTCTCTGAAGGACAAACACAAGCGCTACATACGTAAGGTATGATGCAACAAGTCAGCCAGCTCAGGAACAGAAGATCATATCAATAACACTTGAAGGGAGATACCTTTAGGAAGGAAAGTCCAAGCTGAAATTCTTTCCTCAATCCTTGAAACTATCTCATCCTAGAAACCAAAAGACTGTTAATCATTAGATATTGTGCAGCATACCAGTGAAATGATTAAGAACGCACACTTTGACAGTCAGTAGTACTGGTGTTCTGAAACCCAATTACAATAACGAGTCACGGAAAACATGAAAGGTACCTCCATGTTCAAGGGAATTTGTAAACTTTTACGCAGCCTGATTGTGTTGGTGTTTCCTAAATCATCATATTCTGTCAATGAATTCTCTTCTCCACCATGCGCCTAAGCCCAAAACATCAATTTAGAACTACCAAGCAGCCTTAACCAATTTATATGCTGAAAATCTCAAAGAACGATGTCAGGGGATGTACCAAAGAAACAAGGTGGTCACACTCCTCATCTGATAGGAAACCTTGATATAAAAAGACCCTATTGCAAGAATCAAGAACTCAGAGTCTTACAGCAACAAGACATTACACATTCGCCGATTTGGAAACTTCGCGAAATTCATGAAATAAAAAATTCATCAATGTACCTGACCTTGGTCGCCAAGATAGTTGGACAGCCCGTGAAGGGTCAATTCTGTTAGAATGAACGGAGTGGCCAAAGTGTATGAAAGTTTCTTTGTTGGCTTCCTCACTCCTTAGTTCCTTCCTGCTACTGAAGCAAAATGATCGCAACAGAAAAAGATTAAGGACAAGTAGGATGAACCGAACAAACACAATCGAAACATAGACAGAAATAAACACTTCCCTCAGTTTGTGACAGGCATCTTTCTTTTACTTAATTTATGTCTATTTAGCAACTCGGACTAGCAAAAAAGGAGCTCAAAATATAATATTTCGCTAATGTTCGAAACATTGCTAGGCGTAGGTGGGTGCCTAGGCGTTTTTTTTTAATTAATAAATTTATAATTATTTTGTATTATAACTAAAAACACAATTATGTTTTAGTATATATAGGCCCAAGCCCATAAGAGAACCTTGTTAAAATACCAGCCCATAAGTGAAACACAACGTTTCACTAACCCTAGCACCTTTTTTTGGACGAACCCTATCCACACTTATCTCTCATCTCTCCGCCTCCATCACCTCCCATCTCTCTCTACCTCCATCGTCTCCCCTCTTTCTCTGCCTCCATCATCTCCTCTTAACAAAGAAAAGAAGAAAAATTCAATGATACCTCTGACGAGTAGAGAAGAAGCCGTCCTCCCGCCTAGTGCCTAGGCGGTGTCCTCCCGCCTAGGCCGATTTTTCGAGCTTCAACAATTTACAACAAAAAATAAATAAATAAAATGAGTAAGACTTGGGCAGAATGAGGAAAAAGAAGGTATAATTCCAGAATCCATAGATCATTGGCAAAACTGTAAATTTAAAGCCTAAGTGCCAACGATAGCCATTAATTAATTAATTAATTAGCGTGAAAACAAGGCTGAAATGTGAGAATTAGGGAACCAAAAATTGCGAAATCTACTAGTGAATCTCAAATAGATGTTAGCTTAAGATTGAGTCATAAATAAGAAGAGGCTCCAGGAATGAAAATTGAGATGAATTTCTTACACTTCAGCAGAAGAGCTGGAGAAGAATGACGTAAGCGCCAAAAGAAGAAAGATTGAGACGAGGGAAGCCATTGACACTAACTGAACCTCTGTGTTGTGCGTGAAATATAGTCGCCTCTGCTGCACTAAAGCCTTTCTCTTTCCTTTTTTTTTTCCTTTCTTTTTTGGGTTAAATGTAAAGTACTTTGAAAACACAATGGAATGCAAAAGTTTTTTCGTTCTTTTTATTTTTATTTTTATTTTTATTTTTTAAAAATAATTATTATTAAACAAGAACCCGTTAAATGGTTTCCTTTCCTTGTATTTGTCATAATTTGGTTTGTTTATGTTTTTTTATCAAGGAATTAATGTTACAATCATCAAAATGTTTAAACTCGTCATGCAATGTTGACCAAAATAAATAAATTTGTCAAGAAATGAGGCATTACAAAGAGCTACAACTTTTAGCTCAAGAAAAAAGAATGAATCAATGAATAGTTTGTCGCATGTTTATTCTTTTCCTCTATGATTGTACATGAAAAAATATTACAATAAATTAATGATCGATCACTAAATATCAAGTCATCATAATAACAACAACACTCACTCCTTTTTTTTTTTTCTTTTTCTTTTCAAAATCAAAACCGCACAACAAATGTCTTGCTTTTCTTAGCGGAACTAAAAGAAGATTCCCCACTGGATCCATATGAATGCTCCTCCTCATCCTTCTCATCAAAAGTTCCATACATAGATGGTGAATATGCATGAGGCACGGCCAACGTGACAGCCCTCTGTAATGCAGCCCTGTACTCCTCAGTGTGTTCTTTGGCTAACGTCTCCTGCCGCTCCATTTTTTGCTTCGGCGGTATCTCCATAATTTGATCTTTCTCCAACATTAACTGAAGGGAAGTGGGAAAAAAATTGCAGAGGTTGAGACACCAGACTATTGCAAGTTGGAACCCTAGTCTTTTGCAAATGCAGAAAGTAGATACATATTTCCTATAAAATCTACTTGAGGGAAAAACTTACCTTTAGAGCCCTTTGGGCTTCTCTCTCTATCCAAATGATGGCATGGTCTGAAGTGGCATTACAAGAAAGAACTATGTGCTCAAATCGCCCATCTACGGGCACTGCAGTCTTGACCACCGGGGGAAACCTTCCTAACCTGCAAACAAAAATATGCAGATGGGAAGTCCTTTACACAAGATAAGATCAACAGTTACTCCCTGCTCAGCAAAATATCTATTAAACTGCTATGTCTTTGGTTCAATGTGGATGTGGCGAATCCCGCATACACCAGGTACCATTGCATAAAATCCCTAATAGGAAAGATTTAGTTAACAGGACCTGGATATAGGTATATGATATTCTATGTTAGTTTGCATATTGACCACACACTGACAAAAGCAAGAACAACACGAGAAACTTGACAAAAGCAAGAACAACACGAGAAACTTGTCCTTAGTAATCTTGGTCGGGATAAAATAAGTTTTTGCAGCTATTTTGAGCAGATAATCCCAAAAGTTTGCTCATTAATGACTGACAATACCTAAAAGGCTTTCTCTCAACAATGTGATAGAGCCGGCCAGGTGCGTACAGCCTCCTTGGATCTTTGAGCATCTTCTCCTCAGGGATGCATGTGTCCCTCATGCATCGTATGCACAGTAGGCATGGCAAACTGTTTAACGAAATAAAGTCAAATTTTAACAATATATTGAATTAACATTCAAAAGGTGAAAATCCAGATAACTAAAAATCCAAAATTGATATGATCACCTAACTAATTCTTAAGATATTAAGTATGCCCTCTTTATGGGGCCCCTTCAGCTGAAACAAAGCAATAGTTGAAAAGAGTGATCAGAGCCAATTATACCAGAAAAGTGACTTGAAAATGTCTTCCAAGGGTGTAGCTGTCCGAGGTAAGAAGTCATCCTGGTTCAGCATAATGATCACAATCAAATCTAAGGAATGCATTTACGGAACTACTACATAAAGATTATAAAAGTCTATTGTATAGTTGTGCGAATACATCCTTTAGTGTTTAGTTTTTCAAAGAACAAGCTCCCATGCATTGCCAATACAGACAAAGGAGCTTTTGAGATGAACAATTTACACAACAATGAGATAGAAGATGCCAACATATAAAATATAACGCTGAAGCATAATAAGATGTATATTCCTTTAAACTTATCGAACAAATTCTTCCTACCGAGAAAGGGATTAAATACTTGCCTGAAGCACAACAGAATTGATGACGTCTGCATATCTGACGGCTAAGTTCAATGACATACACCTCGCCGGTGCAATAGCATAGCCCCTAACCCTCACCATTGTTAACAATGCTGCTACACCGGACCCTAGGGAGTGTCCCGTGAAAGTCAAAGTATAATTTGGATACTTCTCTACCAAATCTTTCAAATTCTCACATTCTGCATCCAGAACCCATTCAGCGGCTTTCAATAGCCCATTGTGAACATAACCGCCATCAAATTTCTTCTTGCCCAGCCTATTATCCATAAGAACTGCATAGTCACTTTCTCTTGCCAAGTTAAGGCCTCTGAAGGCAAGAACTATATCAGCATGGTCATGATCAAGATATAATATATATGGAGGAGCTTGTCCTTGAGTATCTTCATATGTCTTTTTCAAAATTAACCAATCTGGTTTAATTCCATACCCACCAGGGGGCTCCCAAAGGGGTTGACGAAGGTCATCTTCATAAACAGCTAGAATGTAGCGGCAAAGGCGAGGAACAGGCTCGAATTCTTCAGCAGTGGCAATGCCCCAAGTCTCACTGTCATGACCCGCTGTGTGGAGGCATCGCTTCCAAGCCCAGCGGGTACATGCCAGACAGTAAACGCACTCAATGAGAGGGCAGCCACATAGGATTGACATTGAGCCCTACAGTCTAAAGCATACTATGACAGATCAAAACTCACAGATACAAGAATTCAATAAGATACTATTAACTGAGGAAATTTCAGCAGCACCTAAACATTGGGATTCCAAACGCAAGGATAGGCCAATTGGAAATAACATAGAAGTACGCATTGACTAATGTCACAAACAAGAACTCAATGGACTGAGCAAAATATAAGAACAGAGAGGATCTATGGAGATGAAAACAACACAAACAAGGATGGTCACAAATTAAACAACACAAATGACCAGATGGGTGTGGCAGAAGAAAGAGATCAAGCAAAATGCTCTATGAGGAATTCGACTCAAATTAAGGGTACCTCTAACCAGAGCTTGATAATCAAAAATTGAAACCAGAGCTGTTATTTATAAGGACCAGAAGCTGAAACATGATACTGAACTCAACTGGATCTCAACCATTAAAGTTTTTTGATGCACTGAAAAATCTTCAGCAGCTTTTGATCACAATTTCTAAATCCAGTGAGACAAGAACACCAACAAGAAAACAAAGAGCCAAGAGAAGAAAGTAACAGATACCCAGACCAAGATTTTAACTTTGATCAAATGCTGGAATCTCACGGCATCACGCGAGAGTTAACATAATTGAAGATGAAGAGCATGGGATTCGTGGTCAATATGAAACTAAAGCATGGTTTTTGCGAATGAGCTGGTGCTCAGTTATGGTATTATACAAATTTGGTAGTAAGTTAAGTTCAAATGAAAATTTAAAAAAGGAAGAAGTGTGAAAGAGGTCTATACCTGCAAGTCAATGCCCATTTGGGTTTTCTTCATTTCTTGAAGAATAGGTGGAAGTGGACGAAACATGAAAGCGCCCGGTAAAGGCCTCCAATCATCATCGTTGGCTTTACATTGGAAGTGGCAGTTGTGTAAATTGGCTCCACTTACAGTGGCATTTGTTGTCTTTTTAATTCATCTTCTCCTACCGTTCTTATGTAAATGTCTCACCTGCTTCCTCCATCCACTCCTTACTCCTTTGACTGTAAAACTTTATTACAAAATACAGAAACTAAATTTCACCACTATTATTGATTACTGTGTTTCTTTTTTTGGTTTTTTATATTTACAAATATGGTGATGATTTAAATAATTAAAAACAAACAATCGTTGTGTATTATTTCAAGTTTTTTTTAAATCAATTCTCAATTTAATAAGAGATTTATAACTCAAGTTGTTAAGAATATTTACTTCTGCATCAAAGTTCCTCCATTCGAATCTCCCTAACTTGTATATAATTATAATTAAAAAAAACCAAATATCTCTCTTCCAATTTACTCTTAAGAAAATTTAATAAAACATCGGCAAAAGTATAATCTCAACCTTTCATCTTAAAAAATTTAGACATGTAAAATTACAATAATTTTTTAATAGTTTGAAGCATCTTTGATCTACATGTACAAGACTACCAAAGGTGGTCCATTTATTTAACCATATATATAATCAAAGATTTAAATTTTGTTAACCATGAGTAAATAAATCAGCCCAAAAATTTAAAAACAAAATGAGTACAAGATCCAACATTTGTGTCCTATAATGTAATTCAACAATTACATATTAAAATATTGGATTAGATTCTCCTCGTTTACATCACAATCATAAATCTTTGCTTATGTATAGGGTGGTTCTAATAAATTAGTAAATAAATGCTTGATCAATTGATTAGCAACTTATTAAAAAAAAATTAAAATAAAGAAATGTAGCAGTAGATGGGCTCCGTTCAGTTACTTCCTATGATGTCCAACAAACTGAACCTCACTATAATTGAGACGTTGGTTTCTACAGCTGGGCCGAAATTGGGCCTTAATTTTCATTGACCAAACTACCCTTAAACTTTTTCTAGTTTCCCCATTAAAACTCGGTATATATAAAAATCAAGCTCAAACCCCAAAACCCTAGGCCCTATTCTTCTAACCCGTCTCAGAGATCCTCCAAGCTCCGACTGAGGTAAAACCCTAGCACTCTAGCATTCTAGTTCTCGTTCATGTCATTTCCTCATATCGTGAAACCATAAACGAGTACATTTACTGCGTATTTTCCCAGAAAAATAGGAAGAAAATAGTAAATGCTGCTGAGCTTTCTAGCCTTTTGATATGTGTTCATCTCTCTGTTTCTCGTTTTGACTTGTGCACAATTTTTTTTTTTTTTGGACTTGTAAGGTTTGCACATTTAAGTTTATTGTGTTTGGTTGTAGCTAATTACTAACTGAAACGATGAATATATGTGATGAATCTGGGAATCAAATGGGTAAGTGATGAAGCTTGTTTTTTCCTATTGTTGAAGCAGGTAATGGCTCCAAAACAGCCAAACACTGGGATTTTTGTGGGATTGAATAAAGGCCACATAGTGACCAGGAAGGAATTAGCTCCACGCCCCTCTGATCGCAAAGGGGTAAGTTGATTCATATTTTACCTCTGCAATGTTTTCACGTCTTAAGTCATGCTTTGAATTTGATTGTTCAACCCAGAAGCCATGTTGATATGTTATACAATATAGGAATTTGTATTTGGTATTTGATTCAAGTTCTTCTCTTGATGGCTGAAGAGATTAGTGACTACTTTTGTAGTAATTTTAAGCATAGGCTGCTGAAAATGCTTCAATTGATGAAATTATTTGCTGGTGCAGAAAACTAGTAAAAGGGTACACTTTGTTAGGAATTTGATCCGGGAAGTTGCTGGTTTTGCACCATATGAAAAGAGAATCACTGAGCTTCTTAAGGTAGGCAAGGACAAACGCGCACTGAAAGTTGCTAAGAGAAAGTTGGGAACCCACAAGAGGGCAAAGAAGAAGCGTGAGGAGATGTCCAATGTCCTCCGTAAGATCAGGTAAACAAGATTCTATTTCTCGTCCCCGAATCTTAAAGAATGCTAACCTGGTTTGAGAATTCATATCAATAGTTACTTATTGCCGTGTGTGACTTCTGATGCAGGGCTGGTGGTGGAGCTTCGGAAAAGAAGAAATGAGGCGCATGAAAGCTAATTGGAAGTCTCATGATTTCCAACTAGAGTCAATATGTTAGAAATTCACCTCTACAAAATGTTTTTTCTACTCTGAGACTTGAAATTTTAGTTTCAGAAATTTGTTCTGTTTTGAATGTGAGCTGCAAATTGGAAAAGGCTGCTTGCCCAACATTTTTGCTTTTGTTACTTAATTGATTGTCTTGGTGGCAAGCCATTTTTGTTAGATAGATTTTCTTTCTCAGTGATTTTTAATTTATGCTATAATGTGCTTGTAGCTCAATGGTTTCTAGGCCCACTCAACATGACTACATTATTCACTCCTATTGTATGTCAATTAGAAAGAGACTATCTTAAAGGATGAAGAGAGGAAGGAAAACTCGAGAGTAAAATAAACATTGGACAACTCGAGAGTAAAATAAACATTGGACAAATGCTAATTCCCTGGTTTTAACCGTTCCATCTGAAATGTAACCTGGCGGTTTTATTAGGCAATAACGGGGTTTACATCTTTTCCCAAACAAAAAGTATAACGATCGGGTTTTACATCAGCCACAAGGGACTCGTGGAGCCAGATTGAACCTTCCTCAATCCAAATACCAAAATCTGGATGATCCAATGTTTATTACATCAGCCACAAGGGACTCGTGTAACTGTATTTATTACAAAAGACCAATATGGTATAATAAACATGGGTGGTGGATTATCCCCTTCATTAACAAAATCTCAAAACTGTTTTACAATTCTCACTCCTCAGCAGCCCGTCATCCGTAAAAATTGTTAAAGAGATAGGAGTCATGTCTTAAACTTCTGGGTGAGTTTCTCCACTCCTCCCCTACAATCTTCGGCGACGCGCTTTGCACCTTCTTTGAGAGCCAAGCTAAACTCCAAGGTACTTTGCTGCAACTCTTGGGCTGATCTACTGGCCTTCGAAATGGCAGCATCTTTCAGTTCTCCGGCCTCTTTTCCAGCCTGGGGAATCCATTCCCTCAAATTGGATACAAGCAAGGCTATCTTTTGGATGATTTTATCAATTATATCTCTGGATTTTCCTTTTATATTTGTTGCTATTGCCTTCAGCTTGCCCATCAAATTTTCCGCCCTGCTGACAGTTCCTTCAACTGAGAACTGCTTGCCAGCATCGAGCCATGTAACTTCAGCCAAGGCCTCTTCACGGAGATCATTGTCAACAACTACCTTGATGCCCTGCCTCTCCCAGCGATCTCTAGCCTCCTCAAGTACTTTAGCTTGTTCTCTTGCTCTTTTTGCCTCATCTTCAGCCCAAGCCCTGGATAACAAAGATTAGAAGTCTTACAAGGTTGTGTGAAAATAACAGAGTTACTAGACGCATAAAAGACACATAAGACTTGGATACTAAATACCTGGCCATGGTCAAGGCTTTCCGTTCAACCTCTAGATCATACTGTAAGCGGGCAATCTCCTGGCTTTCATTTTCTGCTTCTTTCCTAAGTTTGCTAATTCTTTCTTTTTCATAGGATATTTCTACTTTGTTACTCAGAAGGCTCTCCAATTGTTCCTCAACCTCATGCCTTAACCTTGACAGAACTTCCATTTGTGATTCAACAGCTGCACGTTCCTTCATTAAGGCAACATTTTCTTCCTCTCTCTCAGATCTTAACCTTTCCAACTCACGTCTTGCTTCTTCAGCCATTTTCTCCACGGCGTCAATTTTTTCCCTCTCTATGGAAAGATCCTTCTGAAAACTTGCATTCACATCCTTTTCAACTTCAGCTACTAAAGCATTATGTGCATCCACAGCATTCTCTGCTATAGATTCTGCTTCAATACGTGCAAGCTCCTCACTAACTAAGTCAGAATACTCTCCAGTTGCCAGGGCAATAGCAGCCTGGGCTTTTGTTACTGGCTTATCTGGCTGGAATAATCTGGTGTAACCTTTTTATAAAAAGGAAAAGAAAGGAAATGTTAACTATGAAACTCATAAATTGCTCGAAATTCAAAATGTAGTTATGACTCACCAAATGCAAGGGTAATAATACCCTGCTCTCCTGATAGGTCAGCAATGAGTGCAGGACACGCATCTGGATGTATCTTATCGGTGTCTATAAATCCAGAAATTTGGTAGAGGACCTGTCCAAGTGCACAATAATAAGTAGAGAGTTAAATATTCAGAACTACAAGCACACGAGTAGCTCCAAAAAGAAAAAAAAAAAAAAAAAAAAAAAAAAAAAAAAAAAAAAAAACACTAAACAAACTTAAATTTCAACAACCTCCTTGTCAGCTTTTGGGAGATTTCTTTTCTCTAGGGCCATTTTCCAACTTACAAGATCCTGGCGTGATAGAGGGCTGCAGCAAGGAATTTCAGAGAAAAATAAGGTAAATTAATAAGAAAATCATAAACCATGCAATCCACCCTCAAATCTGTAACAGAAATCAAAAAAATGCTACATTTATATGTCAGATACGCAATTGAATAGATAGCTGTAAGCTCACACAACAGGAACAACTAATTTCCACAGGTAAAGAGACCATCCAATGGAACAAGTACTCGTAAAATCCTCTATCAGGAACCGACCCCATAATCGGTTTGGAGATACATGGATGTAAGTGTGTCTTGTGTATTTGGGATCAGACAGAAAAACAACCAATGCAGAGTGAAATTGGATAAAAGGTTGGAACAAGGAGAAAAACATGCTGGGAGTGCCAGCACAGATCCTAGCAGTTGGGGATGCCAACTGCATTTCAAGGAAACAATAAT